GCCATCTGAAAGCCCGTGATGATAATTTTCTGCTGATTACAGAACCGGCATTACTATCAAAATGCGCATGACAATCGCATTCGATTAATCGTGCAGCCCTAGTTTAAGAGTAGGCCTAACCTTTGCAAATTACCCATATACACTTATATATGGTTTGTTGTTATTGAAACATCTAGTGTATCGTTATGGAATTGACATTAATTTGTCCATTATTCCCAAATCGTATTCATTTCAGCCATGTGACCACCCATGAAAGTCTGTGGTTTATGTGGTGGTCGATTGTTTGTTGTTGAAAGGTTACCTGAAGCACATTCCCTCTCTTCAGTGTGCGTCACAGCTACAGTATGCAGAATGTACTCCATATGTGCCCTCTTCTCAGGAGCTCACATGTTGCCAGTCACCTTTTTTAGTCTGTAAATAGATTTACAATGGAAGTGTTAACTTGGGCCAACAGGAGGCTGGTTACTAGATTAAAGAAAGACATTGTGCAGATCTCATCATGACCCAATCTGCTCCTCTTTAATCAATGTCTGAGTGTTGCAGTCATGCCAGTACCTGGGTAAATGATTTAAACCCTTGTTAGTTTAATCTTAATAAAGTACAGCAACATGTTTACTGGCATTTTTGGTGGGATTAGTCCATTTAAGCCCATTGTTTGTGTGTTAGACCCGATCATGAGAGGTTTCGTAATGGATTCCTCAGCCTCTCTTCTAGAAGTTCAAGTAAATGCCTTCGGTTTGTTCCATGCATAAGAATTTGAAAAGAACAGCTGGACGTTTGTGTGGAAGAATCCAACTTATTTGGAAAATCATGCATTCTACACTAAAAATAATGCATTACTGTATGTCAAAAATATGTTTTATTTTTGGTTGGTTTAGGTTAAAAGAAGTTTGATGGAATGTTTTATTGCAGAGACATTGATTCACAGTGTTGTGTGTGTGTGTGTGTGTGTGTGTTTGTGTGTGTGTGTTATAGCTTGATACAGTGATACAGCTTGAAAAATACCAGATGACTCAATATGACCCTTCAGCATGCTGGGGGTCAGTGACCCACTCTATAATGAGACACACACTTATTACATTCCTCTTGCCTCTGGCGCTCATTTTTCTGAGATTTGGAGACATTGACCTGAGATATGAGATGTTTCCTGTGCTTGTTTTCTCTGAAATTTCTTTATTATTTTAAGTGATTTTAAGTGAAAAAACTGTTCTGCATGTTAAATCCAATGAATAACATAAGTCACTTTGGATAAAAGCCTACCAAATGCATAAGTGTAAATGTTTTAGGCTATTTATTCTCTCAAGTATTTTCCTAAGAACATTTGAATTTCTTAAGAATCAAATGATATTGTTAACAGTATAATAAAAATGATCTGATTTTATACTATCCAGCACATGAGGTTGCATTGTTTAATACAAACAATTCAAAACTTTACACTGGTGAATCTTAACGGTACTTAACGGTATCTCTTAACTTTCACAGTTGCAAAATTGAATGTAAAATGCATGAAATGTTTATTTAACGACTTAAACTGTCACAGGATAATTTTCTTGTTATGTTGTAATGCACAGTATTTGAAACTACACAATAAATTAAACATTTTACCTTTCAAACAAGTTGTATTTAAGGGATTTCAGACTAATTTAAGGGTTATCAAACTTTATTTATAATGATTTTTAAGTTTTGTTTTAGGAACAATTTTAAGAAAAATAGAAAAGAACATTTGTATTTTTTTGGAATTATTTGAAAATAACAGAACAATGGCAGTTAGGAAGAATTTTATTCTTAAGAATGTTACGTGAATCTGGATAAAATCCTGCTAAACCTGTAACTGTAGATGTGTGTAGATGTTTTTAGCTATTTGTTCTCTTTTCTCTTCTGAAAATTTGACAAACAAACTATGACTTTTTTAGTGCGAACAGAAACATAAAAATAAATATTTTTCAGAAAAAAGTAATTATTAAAATGATTAAAATGTCTTTCTCATTCCTGCTCTCTCATTCTCCATCACTCTTTCTCCACCGTGATAATCTTCTGTGAACATTTGAAAACAATGACTTCATTCACAATATTGCACATTTGATAACTTTCTTTGTCAGACTACTTCTTTACTCACAAACAGATTAATGCATAACACATAGTCTTTGTGAAATGAATGAGCGGTCAGTTGCTGTGTGCAGATTGCCGAACCTGCCAGAATAAACACGGGTAAGAGCACAGATGTGACGATGTGTGTTGTGTTGTCTCTTGTGCAGGTGAGAGATGGATGTGAGAGAGGTGTATGTGGTGGCCGGAAGCTTCGTGGGGTTTCAGCTGTTCTTCAAGTGCGTCAGTCCGGTTCTGTCTTCCAACTTCACGCAGGGTTATGGGAAACTTCCTCCAAACAAACTCAACGACTGGAACTCCAGGTATCAGCCTCGTATAACTCAGCACTGCTCTAATAGAAATGTGGTTAGAAATGCGTGCATGGATGATTGAGTAAACAGTACAAATAGACATGGATTGGTAGCTAGGATGGATAAATATCATCAAACATTCACAATTATAGACAAAATCAGGGGCACGATGTAGGGAAGTCACATTTCGAGGAAATATAACATGACAAATGAAATGGTTCATGAAAATCTTCTAAGAAAAACGTTTTAAAAAGTTCTTAAGATAGATTCGAAGATCTTTGTAAGAATGTTCTTAAATGCTCAAATAATTTCTTCTTAAATATTTTCTTTTTTTTAAGTTAGAATAAAATAATACAATATAAAAAACAAAAAAACGGAAAATGTACTGGTTATTAAGCTTTTGTTATGTAGTAATATTCTAATGCTTAAAATTTGAAACATCCTGATAAATTAATTGACAATCTTTCCTTTGAGACAAGTTGGATTCAAGAGATTTTAGACAACTTTGCAGGTTATCCTAACTTTAAGAAATTATTTGCAATGATTTTTACGTTTTGTCTTAAGAATAGTTTTAAGAAAAATGAAAGAACATTTGTTTTACATTTCACATGCTTATTAGAAAATGCAGTTCTAATCTAAGGATCTAAGGTTTTTGAAGAAAATTATATTTGCAATGGAAGTTTAAAGGAACAACTAGAGTTAAACAGTTGAGTTTTACCGTTTTCGAATCCATTCAGCCGATCTCCGGTTCTGGCGGTAGCACTTTTAGCTGTAGCTTAGCATAGATCATTGAATCTGATTAGACCGTTAGCATCTCGCTCAAAAATGACCAAAGAGTTTCTATGTTTTTCCTATTTAAAACTTGACTCTTCTGTAGTTACATCGTGTACTAAGACCGACGGAAAATGAAAAGTTGCAATTTTCTAGGCCGATATGGCTAGGAACTATACTCTGAATGATATTACGCAGCGCCTGAAAATAGTCCCAGCTAGGTAACTTCCAATAAGCCTATTTTCAGGCGCTGCGTAATATCATTCAGAGTATAGTTCCTAGCCATATCGGCCTAGAAAATTGCAACTTTTCATTTTCCGTCGGTCTTAGTACACAATGTAACTACAGAAGAGTCAAGGTTTAAATAGGAAAAATATAGAAACTCTTTGGTCATTTTTGAGCGAGATGCTAACGGTCTAATCCGATTCAATGATCTATGCTAAGCTGCAGCTAAAAGTGCTACCGCCGAAAACAGTAAAACTCATCTGTTTAACTCTAGGGGAGTTGGAAAATGAGCCTATTTTCAAAAATAGTGGAGTGTTCCTTTAAGGTCGAGAGAATATATGATAATAGAATTGTATCCAGTCAAATGAGAGAATTATCTTTTTTGATTGTTTTCAAAAATGCTTGCAAATATCATTCATAAAGTAGTTGTGCATGAGTGTAGCCCAACACGAGTGTGATCTAGTGATCTCTGTACTGTATTGTGAAATGTAGGTGAAGGCAGTTTGGTCTAATCACCTTTCCTCTTTGTTATCTTTTGAACATGGTTAACTTTGACCATACACTTCCAGTTAGGAAGAGATAGGTCTCTGTACATTACTTTACATGGTTATATAAAATGTCCGACATTAAACACATGTTTTTAACCTTGAATTGTTTTTAGAAGATGCTAAATACTGCCGCCTGTTCTTGTTTTGACAGCTTACATTGTTTTAAAAGTCATGACTTTAGTGAATGAAACTGATATGATAATCTGTTAGCAAATCTAAACGCTTTGACAATGTCATGGGAGTAGTTTGACAATGTCAACAGAACCAGTTGCATTGATTACTTGCACTCTCTGTAAAAATGCAGTTCTTTCCCTATAAAGACCACTTTCATTTTCTGAAAGTGTAACAAACCCTGATTTTTTTAAATGGTACAATAATTTACTTGTAATTAGAGTATTTTGCACAATAGTTTGCTTATCTCTTTTTAAATTAGTTTATGGATACCTGTTTAAAACCTTCTGCCTGAATGATGAAACATTTTTCACACTATCAAGGGTTGAAAGTAAGGCGTTATCGTTCATCTGATGTAATCAGGTAATGTGATAGCAAAGCATTTCCTTGATTACTTTATTCACAAGACTTAACATGGTGGAACAGAGAATGCAAAAAATAAATAAATAAAACAAAACATTGGATCATTGGTTTGCATAAAATATTTGTCCTTTTGCTTTGTGTGCTGTCAAATAGTGGCACACACAGGGGTTTCTCACTGTGCAGATAACAGATATGAAAATCTACAGTCCACAGACAATGATTTCTCACAAACACACATGCACACCACACTAATGGATCAGATCAAAACATAGTTCCTTCACTGTCAGCTATCTACCGTAGATACCATTTCCTGCGGTTTCAGCATCATGTTATCTATGTGATATTCCTAATGCTGATTTCTTTTGACCCAATGTGCAAATGATACAATGACTTTCTGTGGCCCTTGGCACAGTTATTAAATTATTGACTATATACTTATACGTGTCTATTTGGAATCTGAAAATTCAGATTCATGCATTGGACTGAATAGGCAACTGTACAGGAAGTTGAAACTGGAATGACAGGAAGAATAACAATGAGCGCCAAACTCAAACTTTGGTGATTACTGAAATGTTGTTTGAATGTGGTTTCATCTTTTATGTCCTCAGGCTTGTGTCCACAGTCCATGCATTAATTGTGGGGCTGTTCTGCCTCTATATCCTCTGGTACGACGACGCCGTCAATGAAGACCCCATCTGGTAAGTTGCAGAGAGTTCAAAAACAGGGCAGCTTTTCAACTCTGTGTACTTTTTGGATCTCATTGTGATATTTTTCTTTTTTTTTTTCAGTTTAAAAACTCAAAAAAAAAAAAGGGGGTCTTTAGCAGAACAGCTATTTTTGAATCCATAAAGGTCCTAAATTGCAAGAATCAAACCTACAATTAGTACCAATCAATAATTGAGTATCAATATCTAGGATTATATGTCCAATTGAGACAAATTTTGCTTTATCCAAAAGTTTTAATTGAAACTTTTGCTCTGTCATCAGTAATGTGTCCTCTGTAGTCGCCAAGGCACACAACTGCCGTCTCATTTGTCTTCTTTTCTTTATTTTTATTTTCTTCTTTGATATTTCCTTTTCTGCCTGCTGCCTGTTTGGTCTGCATCTTTGCATCCTGAAAGGGACGAATGGTAATTTGTCTTTAGTGGTTGTCACATCCTCTGTCCTCTGTAGCTCTGGTCCAAAACCTAGTGAGCTACCTACCAAGACAGCATTTTATGGCCTAATAGTAATAATAATGATAATAATAATACTTTTAAAAAGATTTGTGTATACTATGTTTTTTATTTTTATTCATGGTTCTGATTCATGCATATGTTGCACGTGAAGTTGCTGTTTTTTTAAAAGCTTTCCAAAAAACACAGCAAGGCAGCTCACTAGGAACAGAGCACATATCTCCTTTTCATCTCACTTCTATTCATCTCCTCTTCTTTTGGCATTTCCCTTTGCTTATTTAATAGAGTGCAACACCTTTTCTGCAACCTTGGTTCTTAAGGTAATTTTCCCCTGTCATTTTCTGCAAAGAGATTTCAGGAAATTCTTTAATAAAGAGCCTTGTATCTTGTCAGACATCTTTGATTTGAAGTAAAAAAGTAAATGGAGAAGAAAAGACAAAAGTAATTACATTTTTTATGAAGGAATGAACTACAAAACTGAAAGTTTACTTAATCTCTGGCCATCCAAGATATAGATGAGTTTGTTTCTTCATGGGAACAGATTTGGAGAAATGTAGCATCACATGACTTGCTCAGCAATGGATCCTCTTCAGTGAATGGGTGCCGTCAGAATGAGAGTCCAAACAGCTGTTCAAAAACTATATCACAACAAAATCACAATAATCCACTCCACTCCAGTCCATCAATTAATGTCGTGTGAAGTGAAAAGCTGTGTTTGTAAGAAACAAATCCATCATTAAGACATTTTATCTTCAAACTGTTGCTTCCGGGTTCAAAACGAGTCCAAAATCTATAATATTGATTTCTCCAGTGAAAATATTAACATATTTTATAGTTATATATTATAGTCATATATATTATAGTTAGAGTAGGGAGACCATCTCGATTACGATTGGTTCTGTTTTGAAAGCATTAAAAATAATCAATGGAGAAAAAAAATCAGTCTCTGTGAAAATATTGATGGTTTTTTTACTTCCTGAATTCCTTGTCCAACAGTTTCTCTTTTTCTTTTGTCACATCTGCTCTCGCTTTATTTCTTTTCCGCTTTCTCATCGCCTCTGTTTTCTTTGGTCACCTGTGTGAGTCGACTCTTTCAGTGAGGGAACTGTATTTCTATGTCTGTTGTCAGTGTCTCTTTTCCTCTCTCCCTTCTCGATCTCTCAGATCATAGAGTTTTTAATCTTGCCAACAAGGTGCCTTTTCATTAGGAAACGACAGATTCCCAGATCCCCTCCTCTGCCGGATCATGTGACAGTCCTCCATTCCCCCTCTCTCCTCTGATCAGTCCCTCTCACTGTCCCATAGGCCGCCTCGGCCAGTAACACTCCCCCAAAAAACATAACATAAAGAGTATTACTGAGTAGAGAGGGAGACTGCTGAGACTTCATTCCCATCCAAACCTCATCTCATCCTCATCCTTATCTCAATACAAACAGGGTCATTCTATGATATGGATGCCTTTTTGAACAAGGTTTTTCACCATTTTTTAAAGTAAAATTTCATACTAGATAATGTCACCTCTTTGGTCTGCTTTGCTCTTTTCTTCGTTTTTGTGAGACGTCTGAGTAGCCACTGCATGAGTTGTAAATATCCAGTTTCTAATGTAGTAAATTGCATTGTGCATCTCAAGCTACACTGATCAATATGAATATATATCAGTCTATAAATAATGCATTTCAGGGCAGATGGTAACAGAGTTGGCAGTTTTACAGTTTAGCCATTACTTGCGCTTCAAGGCATGATTATAGTTGACCAAAACCATCAAAAAAGCGTTTTTGTTACTTGAAATAAAATCAACTTGAAGTGGAATAAAATAAAATATAAGAAAACCTAAACTAAATTTATTTCAATTTCATCTCTGTTTTTCGTTAAGTTCAACTTGAAGTACTAAAATAACAAAAACTGAAAAAAATAAATAAATAAAAACTAGATGGATGGATACAACAAAATTAACGAAACAAATAAAATGTAAATAAAAACATAATATAAAAATAAAAACGAACTCAAAATATTAATATAAACTACAATGATATATAAATGATATGAAAATAACTCTGGCTCCAGGGCGTGATGCTTCAAGGTGAATTTTAGAAGATGAATTTAGTGCTAATATTTCTACAGACATCTTATTTTCGAGTTTCATCAGTTGTTTACTGTATAAAATGATGGCAAGAGTGTTCCTTCTAGCAAACTTACCAAATTGTAAGATGAAGTGATAAGGATATTTTCATGTCTTCGCAGACTTCATTTGCTGAAAGTATGCATTTTGCATTTTTGAAGTATGAAATAATAGATTATTTCAATAAGGGCTAGTTATGATGGTACCTGGGTTGATGCGTGACCTGCGGGCACAACTACATGCCTTTTATTTTATATCATGTCAAATGTGGGATTTGGCTTTTCATTTGAACCAGGAAATAAAGTTTTAGAGGATTTTGAAAAATTCAAAACAAAGACAAAGTGTTGGGAAAGAGTCTACACTTTTGACTTAATTTATTTTATGCTTTCTTTTGTCTGTCCTCACTCCTTTGTTTCACATTTTTTACAGTCATTATTTACATAATGAAGGACGCAAAAGGCACTCGTTTTGCAGAATGACTCAACACATTGTTGAAAGAAAGTTGAATTGTTTCAGTCGTTGGGTTTTTGTTTGCTAAATGCTCAGTCAGAGATGATAGCCTTACGCCAGTTTACTTGATCCAGTCTCGCCTGAAGAGTTACACTCCACAGAGCCTTTTCAAACCTTCAAGCTGATCTCTTTATGTTTTATAGTAATGGCCGCATACACTGTCATCCATCCTTACATGAAAATGGCTTTCATTAGACTCGTCTGTGCTGTAAGTCTGGCCTGTCGTGTCGGGTCAGTTGTCTGAATCTCTTCTCTAAAGCTGACCTGCTTGTCCAGATAGTGAACTGAATGAGATCAAAGGTGAAGAAACTTGCTTAGGTGTGTCCATTTAAAGGCTAATACTACGTCTTGTCTGTCTGTCCAATTAAACTTTGGCCTAAATCATTTTTTTCCTAAATCAATGTAGATAAATGAATAAATGATAAATGAATAAAATAACTTGATAATTATGAAAAGTTAATGTCAGGATGACATGTTCCATGGAAGAAATAGATAAAATAGGCTAACACTTCAAATTTATTTTTAGAAGAATTTTAATGAGAATTTATAAATTAATAGTTGAAAAGGATTCTGGTGTCGTATTTCTTTTTCCTGCCAAATTATCACAAAGGTTATGTACTTAAGGCTACAGCAGTGTTATTTTACTATCATTGCTATACTATTACAGTTTTTGTTGATATTTTGAATTAGGGTTTATTTTTATATTTTCTGTTTTCATTTTAATTTTAGTTTACGTTTTAGTCATTTTGTTGTGTATTTTTATTATTATTATTTTTTAAATGTCTATATAGTTTTTATGAATTGTAATTATTAATTTTAGTTTATTTAGTTTTAGTTATTTTAGCACTTCAAGTTAAACTAAATGAAGATGACATGTTGCCTTGGCAACTATCTGAAATAAAATAAGTTCGTTTTTTTATATTCTATTTTATTCCAGTTAATGTTTTATTTCAATTTTTTTGAATGGTTTTAGTTTCAGTAACTATCATAACCCTAGGCAAAGTACTTATTATTATTATTATTATTATTATTATTATTATTGTTAAAATTATTGCATTTGATTTAATTGACATTGGTTGATATCTATGCCCTTTTAGCCTTTTAGAGAATTGTCAGAAATATTCTATAAAATAAATGCATGATTTAATTTCTCAATTTTGTGAGCATCTTATTAGACCACTGGTGGAAAAACGGCATTTTTTATTTAATGCAATTTTGTCATCACAAATTGTATAATCATCATAATTGTATATAAACTTCTCAGAAACTTTTCAAGAAGTCTTGGTATATTGTACATCGTCTACTTTATGACTTTGTAGAGTTTCTATAAAACCTAATAATCATCATGTTCTCCTGCATGATCCAGAATGTTCCATAATACAAATATTAATACTGCAATCCATTGACCTCTGCTTTTAATGTTGTTCATAAACAGATGAGCAGGTTCACACGTAGAACCATGCAAAACACCAGAGATATTTTTAAATGATAGAAAGTGCATGATTTCTTTCAGCAGATGGACAAATGTGGTCTATTAAAATAAAGGCTTTCTTATTTTGTCCAAATTAAGAAATACTGTAAATATTTCAGTAACCACTTGCACATGTAAGACTTCATTCTCCAGGTGTAAAATCCTGCATTGACGCTGGCGGCCAGTGAGAGTCCAGTGTTTGTTTGGCAGAGGGGTCAGAGGTCAGAGGTCAGTGAAGGTGACAGCGGGGTCACGCTCAGGGTAACTGAGCTTCCTTCCCTAGCATTTGAATTAAGATTGTGTTTCACACACACCTCTTCTGCTACTGGACACTCGCGACCGCCGTGTATCAGTTCCCTGATCGCTTTACAGGGTCACAGAGAGACACACATACTGTAACGCTGGCTTGTTATCCGTTCACCGAGATATTCTTCTTCTATATGGCGAACGCATGGGTTTGTTTAGTTATTTCATCTCTTTTGTAACTCTCAGATGACCCTGGCAAGTGCACTTGAATGTATTTCATGAAAACAGCTTAAACCAGCGTATGGTGCTTGATGCTTGTCTCCACCAGTTTTTTTACTTTTACATTCAGTGCAGTGCTCTACTGTTTGAGCTACAGGAATGATTGTTTATTAGTTCATGTGCCCTTTTGTTAAATATCTCTGAATAAAGTGTCTGTTAATTCAGGTCTTTGTTCAAAAGGACCTAATCAAATCATCAGATCTATAATTTCTGCGATGAGGAAAACACGGACAGAATCGTGGAATCCAGTCATTATAATGGATTTTACTGTATAATGCGGAATGTCATGGAATTTGGCAAAATTTTGATGAATAAATCAAAAGTAGGGCTGTACACTTAATCAAATCGCGATATGGATTAGTGTCTGAATATTAAAGAACAAAAAGGTTGCTATTTAAATATGAAGTCTGCATGTTCCGCGTGTCTCTTTGTGAATGAATAGCATGGTTTTATCAGCTACACACGGAAACTCAAAGCTATGAAGTCTGTTTCTGCCACGGAATAAAAGATTTAAAAAAGTTAATTGTGAATTTTTATCTCACAAAATTTTTTCTCAGAATTGCGAGAGAGAGAAAAAAAACAGAATTACGAGATTTAAACTCGCAATTGAATTGAGATATAAACTCAGAATTTTTTCTTGCAATTCAGGGCTTACATCTCGCAATTCTGAGTTTATATTTCACAATTTTCTCTGAAATGCAAGGGAAAAAAAGTCAGAATTGTGAGATAAAAAGTCACAGTTACATTCATTCAGTCATTCATTCATTCATTCTGTGGCTTCATGACAGCCCATCAAAATAAGAGTCGGCTTAACTTGAAGAAATTATGACCAGATTTGTAAATGATTACAAAGTAATAATAATAACACAGTTTATTAAAACAATTTAAGGAATATCACATATTTTTTCATCCATGTTTTCATTTAAATAGTAATCCTCTACTGTGCAGCACTTTGTTTGTTAAAAGTGAAAGGAATATAACATTTTATTAGGAATTGTTCAAATTTGATTACATTTGTAAAGATTAATTCAATTGTTTTATGAATACATTTTTCACCATATTTGATTATAAATAAATCATAAAACAGAATTCAGACAAATTAATTTTTAAAGTTTTATGGATGCAGATCAATTAGACATTCTTTATGGTTATTATTACCATTAAAACAAAATTCTACAAATTCAAATGGATAACATAGAATTTGGGGGGAAATCAAATGTATTTCTGTATTTTTCTAACGCATGAAATGTATCTGAGATCAGACAGTTCAAAAGGTCCCAACACTGTGTTCACTACAAGATACTCTCACAACTTGAATTCAGCACAGCCAGTGTCACTAACAGTCTGATGGCAATTCGTTTCATACCATAAACGTTTTTAAATTATATTTACAGTTAGCTAGATATGTATTTGCTTACCAGATATGATTGCATGCAAACGCTGTAGATTACTAGCAGTCCAGATGTCTCCGTATGTTCACCCAGATGAAATGAATGCAGTTTTATGTCATTGGAATATGATTTTATGGTGTAATGTCAGGTGTACAGTTGTCAGTGTTGCCAGTGATTAGTATGGCTCGAGTCAGAAACAGCACCGCTCCCTCAGGTTAACTGGGTGGTGACGCTTTAACGGATTACACCCTTCAGAAAGAAGCAGTTCCTTTTAATCTTGTTAAATCCAAACTCTTCCATTGCCGACTGACTGCATTTCTTATACTGTGTTGTTTGAGCTGTAGCATTTGTTTTTCCTCCCTCAGGGGTGATCCGAACATGGTTAAGCTCAATGTGGCCATCACCTGTGGATACCTGTTCTATGGTATGAAGCTTTGTTTTATTCTGGAAGTTCAAGCACAGATTACACATAGATCTTTTCAGGTTTGTCTACATACTCTCTTGTTTTCTCTTCCATCATCTCTTCTTCTCTCAGACCTGGTGCTTCTAGCTTGTAACTGGAGTACCATGGGCGATGTGTTTTTTGTCTGTCACCACTTGGCGGCGCTGTATGCTTATGGATTTGTGCTGGTTAGTACCTGGAAATACAGAGGACATGGAAAGCTCTTGAAATTGTGGATATTTACTATAAATAAGGATAAAAATAAAAAATCTTTGATGATAATATTCAAATAAAAGGGAGAAGCTTTGGAAAGTTCTTATAAGGTGTCATGCATACTTTATAGAAAAGGTTCTGTAAGTCTCTAAAGTGTAATTTTCAACAGTTCTTTATTTAAATTTAGATTTTTGTCATTTTGAATATTGTCTTTGAATATCACAAATTGCCTGTTTTCTTGGGCTTGTGTCATTTATTTATTTATTTTGTAAGTTAGTTACCATATTATTTTAGTGTCATTGAGATACTATAGTCTTTACTAATATTTCGAATCAGTTTTTATGTTTATATTTGTAATAATTTTGGGGATTTTTATGTATGTCTAGCTTTTATTATTTTTATTTCAGTATTAGTTTGAGTTATTTTAGTACATCAAGCTAAACTAAATTAAAAGGAGAAATGTTGCCTTGGCAACCTGCTGAAATAAAACTTGTTTTTAGATTTGATTTGATTTTAGTTAACGTTTACATTATTTTGTTAGTAACAAAATTATTAATTTTAGTTTTATTTTTTTCGTTAACTATAATAAGCCTAGTTAGTTAGACATGTTGGTTACACCTCCCTGACTTTGAGTTGGCTGATAAAGCTTTTTTCAGATATTAAAATAATGTTTCACTACTTATTTTTAAATAATAATACACATTTTATAAATAATAATAATGATACTACTATTAATAGTAGTATATTTATTCATTTTTTTTTACTTTTTTCTCTTGATTACTATACTGAACAAAATTATAAACGCAACACAATCATGCTGTCTAATCAGCATCTTGATATGCCACACCTGTGAGGTGGATGGATTATCTCGGCAAAGGAGAAGTGCTCACTAACACGGATTTAGACAGATTTGTGAACAATATTTGAGAGAAATAGGCCTTTTATGTACATAGAAAAAGTCTTAGATCTTTGAGTTCAGCTCATGAAAAATGGGGGCAAAAACAAGTGTTGCGTTTATAATTTTATTCAGTGTATTTCAGGATGGTTAGAACACCTCAAAAAAAAAAAACAATTGCTGTCAATTATCATGTAAAATATAAAATAAATTTAAATTCAGAAAATGAAAACATCATAGGAGAGGTATTCAAACAGTTGTCTGTATGATCTACATTTGTAATGTTTTTTTTTTTTTTCCCAGACACGTGGAGTGCTTCCTTATTTTGCAAACTTCCGACTGATTTCAGAATTGTCAACGCCATTTGTGAATCAAAGGTGAGATTCATTTATTCCATTGAAGAGGTTTTGTTTAGATCATTAACTCGTCAAATGCTGAAAGTCTCATTTGACTTCTATTTCTCTCTCTGCAGGTGGTTTTTCGAAGCGTTAGCTTACCCTCGTACTCACCCGCTGGTTGTCGCCAACGGCGTTGCCATGGCAGTCGTGTTCTTCCTCGTGCGGATCGCCGTGATGCCTCCCTACTGGGCAAAAGTGTTTGGCACCTTCGGTACGCCAGCGTTCGAAAGGCTTGGTCTGGCAGCTCAGGTGGCCTGGATCGTATCCTGCGTTTGCTTGGATATCCTAAACACAATCTGGATGTACAAAATCGCCCGCGGCTGCTACAAGGTCATTACCGGCAAGCTAAGAGGAGGCAAAGGGGACTCCAAAAAGACCAATTACATGAACAACCACACAGACTGAGAATCATCCGCGATCATGACAGATTAGATTAGACGTATTCTCTTCCCAGAATATAGCAACTTCTGAGTCTTTATATTGCACTCTGGATGGATGTGCTCTCGAAACAGAGGTTAAGAGGAGAGAGTTTCATCATCCCAGTGTGGTTTTAACCTCTACTTCATGTACAGACACTCTGACTTGACCTACACCGGTGAAAGTCAAGCCGATAAACTAACCTGCTATGCCTCAAACACAACCAAAGTGCCTCCAAGCACAAGGAGAAGCAATAGAACATGAACATGTGAGCTTGTGACCACGAAAAGTCCATCAGATCTCCATCAAAGCCTTAGCCAGTCAGTACCCATGCATGTTTTTCTCGAAACCAATCATGGTTGCTTTGGGAGCCGTGTTTCCTGTGATATTTACACTGATGTGCCTCAGTGAACAACATCCTAAACTTGTTGCGCATTTGGTCGGAAGTGCTCATCAACTTCACTCAATCTTACGTCATTGTCAAGTCTCCGGGAAACCTCAGATCTACCTCTCACACCGTGTCAAGCACAAGAACGAACACCGTTTGGACTTGAGGAACATCTTGAAAAGTCCACAAGAATCAAACACTCGCAGCCTTTGCTTTTATAGTGCAGACTTCTAGAACTCATCTTGTGTTGCACATCAAAAGAGTGAAAGGTGGTTTCCTTTAGCAAATACCTGTGTGCATGCTTCAATTCTGACCATGTGAGGTCACATTTTTTGCATTAGATTGGAGGAAACTGCAGTGCTTTATCCATTTCTCAGGTTCTAGCCTTTTCTAGAGCCCTCCATTTTCTCCAACATGCTTAAGGTGCATCACATGCACAGGTTTTGTTCTCACCAAGCAGATTATTTAAACATTCAACGCCTCAAGGCTTGATGGGAACTGGTGCAAATTCACATCTCAGTCCTGTTTTTTTCTTGGTTCTGTCATTTTCTTCCTGCCAAATTCTTTTTTTTTTTAGCTTGTTGGTCACCAGAACTTCCAGCCTGACGTTTAGGCTTTTGTCATGATTGAATGAATGCTGTTGTGATTCTCTTGAATGTGACTTCCTGCTGGGCATGTCAACCCATGTTGTGTTGCGCTGTGGCATTACGATACAGTATATATGTGTGTGTAAAAACATATGCAGTACTTATTCCTGCCAAGTATTTGACAAGACTAAATCCCTCTGTAGTCAGAGCCACTGTTTCTCTTCTGAAGTTCAGGTACACTTTGAAAATGAATGATATTTTGAATGATAATGGGAGATGATTGTGGGATATGTCGTATTTTGCCTTATATCCATAATTCGAAATAGCCAAATCATCCTCCAGGCCTTGAATATGTGAAGCTGTGACAATAGAAATATATTCGGGTGTTGTTTTGGAGAACAAAATGGCCAACTGGTCATGTAATTATTATATGTATCTAGAATGTCTGAAATGAGCTGCAATCTTCGTGTTTATGGAAATGCAAAGGAGGTTAGGCTTTATGGTACGTCATCCACACAACCGTTGCACAATCGAAATGCCATTGTGGCATTGATATTGTAATATTTGTAATTTTGAAGGGCTGATCGAAATTCAAGTTCATCTACTGGACAAAATTGATTGGCGATACTCAAAATAATAAATTTGATTGGCAAAAATGGTTCAATATTCATAAAAACTGACATTTCTCTACAGTTATTGATTGTTTTCTGTAGAATGGTCACCTGTTGCTATGTAAGCTACAACATTTGAGTATATGAAATAATATAGTAAGTATAGATAGGACTGTACTAGTATAAAGCAGCTATAGAGTTAACACAAAACTAACTTTAGTACCTTGCCTTGCCTCAGATTAGCTTAAACTCCTATGTCATTGTGGATTCAAGGGTGGAAGAATGTGAAAAAAAGGCTATATCCAGGATAAACTTAGTAGATGGGGTTCCCCATATCAAACGTCCCATTGGATTTTATTGGTACACTGTTTACAAAGACCTTTGTAATAATCTGTGCCGCACTTGCCTGCTCTCGTTTGGATCAATCCTCACGTAGAGCAGATAGACCAAGACAAAAGTGTTTTTTGTGATCACAAAGAGCCCCAAATTGTTTGTCAGTGTTTTAAGCTCGTGGTTTTAAAAATGAGCAGTCACCAACTAAATTATATGGATTTATTTAGACATTTTAAATTGCTTTTAAATATTTGTTTCTGGTGATTACTAAGGAGCAATAATCTATGAAAGGATGACTAGACAGTCTCTTCTACCTGTCCAAATGTTTAGACGGATTTTTAATTTGTTCTTATGCTGTCGGCTTTTGTTCAGACAGCCTGGTATTCAATGGAATTATTTACTACGTGCAATTTGGTGACTAGCCCAATGCCAGTATTGAATCTCTATGTATGTGTATATACTTTCAGTCTTGAAGAAGTCACTTTTAAGAAGAGTCTCCGATCTCTTGATTTGATCAATTTTACCTTTTTTTTTTTTCTTTCTTTCTTTTAACAAATTACTGTTGTGGATCCAATCATCTCTGGAAATTTTAATGTGAAAATCGACACCCAACAGAGGCCTTAGAGCCCCTGTATCTGTACACTTTGAAACTGATGGATGATATGACCACTAATGATAATATTGTCCAAATAGCAGTCAAAGAGAGAAATGGCAGATTAATAAATGTGAGATGATAAAAAGCAGTCCTGAATTGTTTTCTTATAATTTGTTTGCTTATTTTGCGTTTAGGATTGTTGACTGACTGCGAATGCGACAGTTTACACTACTCTTCAAAATGTAATGCTTTTGTTCAGCAAGAATGCATAAATTGTATCAAAAGCGACCGTAAAGACATTTATAATGTAACAAAGATTTCAAATCGGCTGTTTTTTAACTTTCTTAAAGAATCCTGAAACAAAATGTATCATGTTTCCAAAAAAAATAAATATTAAGCATAACAACTGTTTTCAACATTGATAATAATCAGAAATTATACTTGAGCAGCAACTCATTTTAGAATGATTTCCATTGAATGCAAACCTTTGAATGGTAATGTATTTATAAATGTGCTTCTTCAGGTTTATAGTTTTTTGTGATGGACGGATAAGTGAAGTTAAGTAGTTTCACTTTTTTATTTTGTTTACTCTTTTTACACATTTAATTACATGATGGAATGGTTTCATGAATTAAATACTTTCAATTTAGTGGGTCCAATTATTCATCCTCATGCTTTTGCTTTACACATTTCACACACTTTTTTGAAACGCTTTATCATGACATGTTTTGATGTGTTCATAAATCTACTGGAAGTTTGTTTAATGTCGGTTTAAGTAGATATTTGACTCTTTAAGTGAACGTTTTGACTATTTCGCTAGCCGTTTGTACATTCAGAGCACTTTTCTGTTGGCAGAACCGTTGGCAAATGGCAGTTGTTTGCTAATTCTTCATGCTAACTGAAAATTGATTTGGTTCAGTGGCAACCGAACATCCTCATGTTTAAGAAGTATTGTAAAGTGAAGTATCTGTCTGTTTGTCTGTGTCTATCTCTATCTTCAGTACCTGTTGAAAATTACATCAGGTAGTTCTGCCTCAGCTCAGAGCTTACGTAATACTAGAAGACAGAAGAAAGTGGAGGTAAAGAAAGCCAAAGAGGATGACAAAGAATCTTAAAGTGAAAGAATGAGAGATCTTTGAGCCTGTAGTCTGGCTCTGATTGAATCCAGCTCTACTGCATGTACTCATGGTCAATGGGTTGGGTCAGAGCGACTGTGTGTGTGGATAACTTTTACCAAACATGGTCACAGTACATCAGAGGCTCACTGAAATCTCCCCTGGTACCCTCACACACACAACACTACACATCATACATCTGCAGTACTGCTGTCTGTGACATTTTGTATGCCTCACACCAAGTCCAAGCATGTACTTTTCACTTTGCTATTACCTGCCAGAGATGGTTTTCATGACTTGTTTTCGGAGCGTGTACAGTATACATTTACTGTATATGCAAAGAAAGTAAAACGGCACATCAAATAATGTTCATACGCAACTCCAGGAGTTATAAAGCAAACTGAACTGCGCTCAGATATTCATCTTGAAGTTGTTCCCAGATGTAGATTTGCATTCCAGACGCTCTATGAACTTTATATAGTTATATTTATGAGGCATTAAAGTTGTTTGAGGGTCTTTTGTAATCTGTGTTGTACAGAACATCAAGCAGATTTATGATGCCATTTGCTTGTTTACAATAGTCGTCGGTACATTTTGGTTGGTGGGTTCAGGATACGGATGACTACTGTGTGCAGAAAACCTGCCCGTGGCTGTTAAATCTCCTACCGAATTCCTCTAAGCTTTGTAGGTTGAATGAGCCATGGACCATAAATAGGCAGACAGACCTATCCTAGAAAGGAGAGAGGAAAGCAAGGAGGGCAGGGAAATCTCTGGAACTGGCGCTTTCAGAAGCTGCTGTAACTTTTCTGTTTTTCTCACAGTTTCTCCATCCTTCTTGACTTTTCTCTGGCTCATTTGAACCCATAAACACATATACAGCAATCATTGAATCTGATGCTGATGAGTGCCAAACGCTTATTCACATAAAACTGCAGCTGTTTGTCTTTTTACAATCAGTATTGTCAGCTTTTCCTTTGGCTTTTTACCCTCTTTGGTTAGAGTTTTTTCAAAATCTCTAAGCAAAGATCACAGTTTCTAAATGTCCTTTCATGATATCCACTAAACGTACAGTTCATTGTAAAGACATTGAAAATCTACTTTAAACTATCCAGAACATCTTAGCAACACTCTAGCAACTGCCAAGCAACCATTTAGAACATCTTAGCAACTGACTAGCAACGCCTTAGTAACCACCAGCTTCGCAAACCTCGAGCAACTGAATAGCAATGCCTTAGTAACTACCAGAACACCTTAGCAACCCTCTAGAAACTGATTAGTAACCATTTAGAACATCTTAGCAATTGTCTAGCAATGCCTTAGTAACCACCAGAACACCTACGCAAAACTTCTAGCAACTGCCTAGCAACACCTTAGTAACCACCAGCTTTGCAAAACTCTAGCAACTGCCAAGCAACACCTTAGTAACCACCAGCTTCACAAACTTCTAGCAATGCCTTAGTAACCACCAGAATACCTTTGCAAACCTCTAGCGACTGCCTAGCAACACCTTAGTAACCAGCTTTGCAAACAACTAGCAATGGCCGAGCAAGACCTTCGTAACCACCAGAACACCTTAGAAACCCTCTAGCAACTGCCTAGCAATGCCTTCGTAACCACCAGCTTCGCAAACCTCTAGCAACTGCTTAGCAACGCCTTAGTAACCACCAGAACACCTTCACAAACCTCTAGCAACTGCCAAGCAATGCCTAAGTAACCACCAGAACACCTTTGCAAACTTCTAGCAACTGCTTAGCAACACCTTAGTAACCACCAAAACACCTTAGAAACCCTCTAGCAACTGCCTAGCAATGCCTTAGTAACCACCAGAACACCTTTGCAAACCTCTAGCAACAGCCTAGATACACCTCAGTAACCACCAGCTTTGCAAACCCTCTAGCAATGGCCTAGTAACCACAGACCACCTTCGCAAACCTCTAACAACTGCCTAGCAACACCTTAGAAACCCCTAAAACACCTTTGCAAACCTCTAGCAACCACCTAGCAATGCTTTAGTAACCACCAGCTTCGCAAACCTCTAGCAACTCCAAAGCAACCATTCAGAGCAACTTAGCAACTGCCTAGAAATGCCTTAGAAACCACTTAAACACCTTTGCAACCCTCGACCAAGTGCCTGGTAACCACCTTAAAGGCAGGTGTGTTGAGGCAAGTTGGAGCTAAACTCTGCAGGACACCGGCCCTCCAGGACCGAGTTTGGGCAGCCCTGACTTAGAACATCTTAGTAACTACCTAGCAATCAGGGTTGCCAGGTCTGCGTAAGAAAACTAGTCCAATTGCTACTCAAAATTTCAGCGCGCAGCCTAAAACAAAACAGCCCACAGCAACAATGTAAAAGTAGCCCAATTTCGCAGGAAACCTATTGACTTAGCAGCACTGCTAGCAATGCTTTAGTAATCACCAGAACACCTTAGCAACCCTCTTGCAAGAACTCTTTTTGTTTGAAACCTGTCTACCTTTGCGTCTTTTATTTGCTTATCTTTGCTAAATTTGTTTGACAGAGCAGTGACCGATTCGCACCTCACACTGACATCCTCATTGGGTAAGTTATTAAGGATGAAGGGTGACAAAAACAACCCTTTAACACAGAACAGATCTCTAGAGCATCTAAAAATGGATACAGCTAGTTAAATCACACCAGCATTACAAAATCATGTATTCAGATATATAGAGATGGAATTGTTTTGGACTCATTTATCGTGTGCTTCGTGAAATCCAGCTGAATGTGAAGTCCTCTTATGAGGTTGTGAATGTCAGAGCTGTGCAGCATGAACACCTCTTTGTCTCGACCCTCATAGCAGGGTGATAGTCTGCCTCAGTCATGACCAAATAAAGCGTCCGAATTCCTCCCCTGCTTTTTTTCAACCCCTAGAATGTTTACAAGAACGTTGGATCAGGCTGCACTCCGACTGACTCCCTGACTGGGACTCAGCTACTGTATACAAGCATCACAGAGCCGCTTTTAGAGGTGTTAACCCTGATGATTGACAGAGAGACAAATTACATCATCCATCTATACTCCAGACTGTTCCTTTGTGAAAAAGTAGTTTTGGGGATAAAATGCCATTTTTGGAGTAGTACATCTGTCTATGCTTTTACTGATATGGGAAAAAAAATGTTTTAATATGTTTCAATGATGACATAAAACAACCACAATCAGATCATCAATAAATGCAACCATGTAAGGCATGGACATTTCCAAAAATATTTTCTTTTTGTTTACACATTTTGTATTTAATAATTTTTTTCCATATTTCTTTTGAAATTTCTGTAGATAGATATATAGACGGACGATAGATAGAGAGAGAGAGAGAGAGAGAGAGAGAGAGAGACAGACAGACAGACAGATGATAGAGAGAGAGAGAGAGAGAGAGAGAGACAGACAGACAGACAGATGATAGAGAGAGAGAGAGAGAGAGAGAGAGACAGACAGACAGACAGATGATAGAGAGAGAGAGAGAGAGAGAGAGAGACAGACAGACAGACAGACAGACAGAC